AAAGGCTTATCTGCAGCTTGAAGCTCCTTTTGTTTCTTCATGAAAATACTGTGCACAACAGAGCCAGAAAAAAAATTATGCAGCATCTGCACAATTTCAAAGAATTCTCCAGCTGGTTCGACATTATTGACACAATCCACCAAGACCAGATTTAGACGGTGGGCATGGCAATGGACATAAAGAGCTTGTGGGACCTCCTGTCTAAATTTTTCCTCGACACCATTATTACACCCTGACATGACAGCTGCCCCGTCATAACACTGGCCGATGCACCTGTTGTGATCAATGTTGCATTTGCTCAGAGTCTTTTTAATGGTTGTCAGAAGGGAGTTGGCATGTAGCCCATCAGCTGGAGTAAAGTGAAGGAACTCTTCCCATATTTCATCATTATGCAAGTACCGCACAGCCACAGACACCTGCTCCTTCTTACTCACATCTTTACTCTCATCAACTATCAGTGCAATTACGCCAGCCTCTTGTACTTCCCCGCTTATTTGTTCCCTGACCATATTTGCCATGATGTCAACCAGTTCATCTTGTATGTCATGATGAGTGTACTTCGCATTTTTTGGATTATTGGCAATTTTTGATTAAACTGTTTTGTCAAACTTCCCAATGACATGTAAAAGTTCAATAAAATTGCCTCTGTTAGATGTTTCAGATTCCCTGTGTCCTCTGTGCAATGGTCTGACATGCAGTATAGCGTAAAGCTTCCACAACTGCACGCATATATTCCCGGTTTTCACGTACCATTTTGGAATGTCCCTCGCTGAGTGCATTGCTTATTTTGGAGCCACTCTCTTTTCTCAGCTTAAATTCAGATCACGCATCCATTGCATATTTATGGCCAGCACTGACATTGTGTGTGTGGAATGACTGTGTAGCTTTAGCCCATGTGCTGAACCCATCCAGGGTAAATGCGGTCTCTTTCCGAAACTGCCGGCCTGGGAGAGCAAAATGTCTGCATGCAAAGCAAAACACACTGTCCTTGGTGACCGAGTACTCCAGCCAACTATACTGCTCGTACCATCGGCGGTTAAAGGACCGCATTTGTATGCCGCACTTTTTAGCCCGGTATTTTACCAGTATTGGGCGACGTGGTCCTCCATGAGGGGTTTGGCTATCTGATAAAGTTGAGTCGTTGTTTGTTCCACTGCCTGGGACAGACAGAAGCAGGTCAGGGCGCGTCTCCACACAGCGCGGGCACCTGTTCTCCTCTGTGCTCATCCCATTCATCCTCGACCCGTGGATCCTCGCTGCTGTTACAATCCGTGGCGTGGTCCTTTTCAATGGTGGAAGTAGCTGCATCATCCGTCTCCGTTGATAATCGCGGTCGTTTGGGTGGAATAAAATATTTGTCCATGTTTGCATCGGGCTGCTTTGTAATAGCTATGCGCTAGCAAGACAAATCTCAGTGCTTCTAAAAGCATGGGGTCAAATCGAAGTCTCGTGATAGCACCAGTGAGGCACGCCTTTTGTTGTTCTTCCAAGAAATTTGTTCTCCAAAACTATAAGTAAAACTATCGCGTTTTATGTTAGATTATATATATTTTAAATATTTAATATAAAAAAACTTCATACGATCTTTGTTACAACATAATCAGTGTTGCTAAGCAGTTGCTTGGTCAAATCTTGTGGTTGCTATAGCAACACCAAGCTACCGCCTGGTGCCGCGCCTGGCCTGATCAATCCTGGTGGCTGCCTGGTGGGTTCTGGGTCCCTGGGCTCCGCTGGGTCCCCGGCGAGGGTGGTCGCCCCTGGGTTCCGGGTCGCTGGGTCTCGGGCTCGGCCGGCTAGGGGGTGGGAGGCTGCGGGCGGGCCTGTGGGCTTGCCGCTGATATCTGCTGCTGGTTGTGGCCCCCCGGGGCGATCCTCTGTGCCTCTCGGGAAGGGGTGGGTGGGGGGGGGGTGGGGGTGGGGGGGGGCCTTTCTGGTTGCAGTCTCCTTGGGGTTCCTGTGTTCTGGGGCAGCGCCTGGATCTCTGGGACTTGGAGCTCCCCCCGTCTCCTACGCATCTTTGAGGGGGCGGATCTGTGGTCCCTCACACTCTCTGTTAGAGAAACCTTACACTCCCAAGGGCGTCAGTTTGTTTTCAGAATTCTTGGGAATTCTTGTAGTCGAGCTTTTTCAGTACTTGGACCAAGTCTCTGGAATGAGCTGCCAGCTGATGTAAAACAGGCCAAGTCATTAGAAACCTTTAAAGGAAGACTGAAAACACATCTGTTCTCGCTGGCTTTTGGACGTTGAAGTTGGGGGAAGCAGGCCGGATATGGACTGTGAACAGGCACTCAGGTTTTTGTACTGTATTTTAAAATGGATTTCTTATTGTATTTTTATAGGATTTATTATGGTATTTTACAGGGATTTCTTAGTGTATTTTAATGGATTTATTAATGTATTTTAATGGTCATATCTCTGTCCTATTGTGTTGCATTTTATTGATGTACAGCGCTTTGTTTGTCCATTCTGGCCATGTGAAAGCGCTCTATAAATAAAGTTGATTTGATTTGATTTGATTTGGGGACAATAACCATACACTTGAGTGGGGTTTAAAAATAGCTGGGGACAATAAAGTAGGCTAGCACAGGGGTCGGCACCCCGCGGCTCTGGAGCCGCGTGCAGCTCCTCCATCCATCTGATGCGGTTCTCTGTGCTTGTAAACAAACATCAGAGCTTTATACTGGATATGTGTTCAGCGCGGCTCGGAGCGCCCACGGTGGACAGTGGGCTGAAGATCTGTAGAGGGGTTTGCAGCACAGTGCAGAACCACGGCGCATGCCATAAGATTTCCTCCCACTGAAGCGGTCTGGAAACCTGGTCTCTCTGAGGGATGTGTCACTTGGAAAAATGTTCTTTTTATGAAATTATGAAACTTTGGCTGAACAGCGCTTGTTCCCGTCTCTAATATGGAGACGCATGACGCATCCAGTCTGAGGCAGAATAGCCTCTTCAGCTCAGAAAGCACCTGTAGAGACATTTGACCACACACAAAGTTCATGTGGAGCAGAAGCGGTCAGGCCACGGCAGGTGAAATGTTCCTAGCCTACATGAAGTGAAACTGTTTAATTGTAACATTAATATGTTACTGGACACGCTGGTCTGGTTGGTTAGACCAGTGTTTGAAGTGGAAAACACACACACACACACACACACACACACCAGATAAAATAATGCTGATAGCGAGGACTAGAAGACAGGTGATGGGTTACGTATTTAAATGATGATCAGGCTGCTGTAAAATGTAATCTCCATCCACATCCAGACACAATTATCCTCTATTCTTTCTCTAGTTGCTCTGCTCTTGTCTGGGCTGACGTAGCTGACGGTGCGCGCGGCGCGCCTAACTAGCGGCTGATGCACATTTTACGCATTTGGAGAGGTGGACTGGATGCTTTGCTTTTACTGGAAGATGGTCCACTTAACGCACGGGTGTAGACTACATATTAATGACAAATGAATGAAAATTAAATTGTGAGTTTTTACTTCATATTTTAGAAATTAAAATGACGGGGGACACATTTATGACGTCTTCGTAAACGAAATTTTCTAGCACGACCTGCCTGCTTCACTAAGTCACTGCTTATTAAGGTCCGTCCAAAACTACCGTGGCCCACCCAAAAATGAAAACCTGGCGCCGCGCCAGTTATAAACCTCTGCAAATTGTTGTTCTTCACTTGATCAAACTCAGACTTTGTACAGCTAATGTCAAGATGTAAAATTATGAATTCAGTCGAGCTCTTCCGTCCCTCCCTCTCCTGTTTCTCCTGGAAACCCGACATCGGCTGTCAGAAGTGGGAGGTGAAGAAGGAGATGAGGCAAACACAGTGAGTGCAACATAAAGAAACCAGACTGGTGTGGAGGTGAGCAAAACAGCTGGAAAAGCGTGGGTGTTGAATCCCCCACGGGTGCGACGCCAAAAGTGTGGGTGTTGAATGATCTCAATAAGAAAAGTGTGGGTGTTGCATCCCCCCATGAGATCTGAGCTGGTAAAACAAAAATCCTCATCAGCAGGCTTTTTTGAAAGTGGGGGGGACACAGCTGCCAATCACAAATTTTGCCGGGGACATGCCCCCGGCGTCCCCGGTTAAAATGACGCCTATGTACATAAGCAAGCGCGTGTACACACACAGGTGCACACATGGTGCTCTCAAAAGTGTGGACTTGGGCACGTCAAACACAGGTCTTAAGACTATGGTGGGCACTTAATGCACTGCGTTTTGTTATCGTGTGATTGTTCAGTTAAACAATGTTGATTATATATTTCTTCATCAAGTTGACGCAGTGATAGCTAGATCTTGTTGTATTGTTGTTGTGTCCCTTTTTTTTAGTTCTCTTGCTTTTTTTTGTCTTTTTCTGCAGGTCCAGAAGCAGACTCTTGTTCATTATTGTTTATTGTTGTGGAACCCCCCCCTCCCCTCCTTTTGTCTTTTCCTTTCTCTTTCACCTCTGTCTCCGTGTCTGGTCGGAATTACAAAGCATTCAAAAACAATAACAATAAAGTTTTAAGTATCAGGCGTGACATTAAAAGCAGACGCTTTGATGCTCCACCTGAGAGTAAATCTGGAAGGCTTGTCACCAGCATTCAGACATCAATTCTGTTTGCTTCACAGCCAGACAGGACACGGTAAAAAAAAAAAAAAAAGATGAAGTATGAATCGTGTGTCAGGTTCTGTAAATGAAACCTTTTAAAAGATTAAACAACAGAGGTGACTTAAAAATTGATCCCAAATAAGCCCAGAATGTTGAATTACTACCTTCAGTTAGAAGGTTATCAGATGCAGATGTGACGATGTGGAAAACAAACAAACACACACACACACACACACACACACACACACACACACACACACACACACACACACACACACACACACACACCCCTCTGGATAGAGATGATAATGAGGCACCATGAAAGGCAGCGTGTGTCCCGCGCTGTTTGTACCTCTGACTTGGGTTCATTTATGAACTTTTGGATGAATCTGTTCTCTGTCAGACAAACATTTATTTGTTTGTTTGTTTATTTATTATTTCCACACCAGATTTTACTGTAACCATGTGATCATTTTACTCACAAACGAATGTGGCTTTTTTTTCGCTCTGTCCACCTGGCTGTAGATAATCTATACATAATCTACTATGTTCCTAAACTACAGAACCGTCCTGACGGGATGCAGATGATCATAAGAATAAATGGGTTTAGTCTGAGGTGCTGTCATGGAGCAGCTGCTGCATCAATAATCACTGTAGGGGTAAAGAATATAGCCAGTAAATATATTGTAGTCCAGTCTTTTACAGAGTGTCCTCCCAGACATCAGCTCCAGGTAGACCTGATCACCTTGTAGCATCTCCAGAACCACCACCTGCAAAAGACAATCTCAGTCTCACAACGGTCTGTCAAAGAGGTGATTTCATACTTGTAATCCAATCAGGTCCAACCTGAGTGGCGCTGTCTTCTGCATCGTCTCGATTGTTCTCCCACACACTGACCCCCATCACACCATTTTTCATCAGCTGGACCTACGAGCACCACAAAGGGTTACTGTCAGGAATGTCCGCCTGCAGCTGGAGTTCAGGGCCAACCGTAAACTCATCTTACTTTGTAGTAGAGGCGGTCAGCATCGTTCACAGCTGAGTAGGTGGTGAAGGAAAACACATAAACGCCAGGAGTCTGGGCGGTGAAGACACCTGCAGAGGGAGGAAATAGATTATAGGCAGCTTTCACATCAAGTGGCGACTGAATCTTGTGTTTGTCATCTCTTCGGTTCCCACCCATGGAAGGGTTGTATCCATTTCCAGTGTTGAGCTTCACATCTGAGAAGGGGATCGGCACATTAGTGCTGAAAGGTCCAAAGCAAGGATAGGGCGATCCAGAAACAGCGACACCGAGACTGGTGCTCATGGTGGCCTTAAAAGCAACCTTTGAGCGACCTGAGGGGACGACGAGAGAATTTTAATTTTGTAACATTTATACATCTGAGATCAGCTTCATGTCCATGGGTAGAAGGATGCTGAGAGTGGAGCCACCAGGCTGGAGGCTGACAGGAAGAACAAAAAGGGGATTCATGGATGTGCTGAAAGAGGACAGAAGAAAAGACTAAATGAAGACAGTTGATTGGCTGTGGAGACACGTGGAGGGAAAGCCCAAACAGGAAGATGAAGACGAAGCTTTTTAATTGACATCCAAACCTTTTGAGATGTAGGCTAAAGTTTCCAAGTTGAAAGTATTTAATAATAAAATAATAACAGTTTGCAAACCACAAACGTGTAAATTTTTAAAAACTATAGAATATGAGTTGTTGTTGTTTTTTTAACATGCTTTATATATTTATTTCATTTTCACATGAAAGGAAAAAACCTTTGGTCCAAGTGCATTTACCTATGAGAGCCTTTACTCTGCTGTTCAGAGCATCAACGCTGCTCCACAACGTTTTGATCCTCTGGAAGGTGTTGTCTTCTAAAGTGAACATGTCATTAGCAGCACAGCAGCAGCTGCGCTGGTTAGTGAAGGCGCAGCTGCAGTCCCAGGGGTTGCAGGGCAGAGGGCCCACCCAACTGACTGCAACAGGAGACACAACAGGTGAGTGAGTCAGACGCTTCTTCCTGCAAAGCAACCACTAAACGGTGCAGTGACCACATGTCTGATTATTTATAGCAGTCTGACCAACTTACGTGCAGCTTGTTTCAGTGTGTCGATGGAGGACTGGGCCTCTACACGACCATAGAGAAACAGCGCCCCTGACAGGAGGAGAAGTGGTAATGCACCCATCTGAGAGAGAAAACAGACCATTAGAGCATCACAAGTAGAACTGTAAAGTAAAATTATGCAATCCTTTCCTTTCTCATCTTTAGTTAATTGAGCTGGGACGTTTCAGGTTTCCAGTTCAACAGACTGTTCTTTTAGTTTAGGTGTGAAGGAGTCGCCAGATCAATAATTCAGTATTCAAGGTAAATTATCTTCCATAATTCTAGTGTGTTTGCCTATGATTTCAACAATACTCACATCATATAAAATAAAATGTAGCCTGATATTGCTTTTAGACTAAGACGTCCCACTCATTTGCAAATTCAGTAAGGTTATAAAACCAGCACAAAAGGGCCTAAATGTTGCTCAACTTCACAAATAAAAGCTCCTTTTACTTGAAATGAAGCACAACTGAATTCTGATTCAGGAAACGATGTTGACTCTGGTCCACCACGGTTAGATGAAGGGATGAGTGCATGAAGAAACTTATGTTGCATGTTTTAAATAGCTTCCTGTAAAACTCAGGAGTTTCTCAGGACTGATGAGTTAACGCTAGTTAGCTGTCTGAAATCAGCTCCCCTCTTTATAATAACAGTTCATTCAAACTTAATTTGATCCAACTTTATGCTAATGTGGGTTTGACTTGTTGTTGTCCAGGCTAACACAAACCACTCTGGACCACTGAAGGGCTACATTTTACTGTGAGCCTGTAAATCACAGTGGAAAAGCTTTAAATTACTTTGGTCTTAGCTGCATTCAGGCTAGCTGCTAGCGCATCTAGACTCTTTTTCTCCCTACAGAGCAGGGGTCCTCAACTGATTACGGGCCAGAGTTTTTTCCAGCAGACACCCTGAGGGCCAGATGAAGTATTATTGTATCTTAATTGATTATTTTTAAATGCCTTTGTTTTCCATCCAAACTGTTTGGATTGTTGGTTTAATGTGTTTGCAGAATGTGAAAAATTATTGATATTTGGGACATGAATTTTGCTGCTAAACTTCAATGCCCCCTAAATGGGGAGTGTTGGGACCCAAAGGGTTGGGAGGCTGGGTGGAAAAATCCGCCAGTTGAGGTTTACTGCTGTAATGATTGAAATTACATGTTATTTAATAAGCCATAAGGCGTAGGATTCCATAGAAAATATAAAATCAACCTTATGGATCTGTGAGGTTATAATAAACCAGAAGATTGGAACTTTTTAATGCAGGGATTAGATAACAGCTTCGTATGCACTCAGAGACAACAGAAGAGAGAGAGTCAAGTTTAAAAGTTAAAAATTGTATTACTAACAAATTAAACTAGACTGACTTTAACACTAAATGTATGGTGTAACTAAGGTGAATGAGACGGAGAATGGTGTAGTGTGGAATGTTGCTCAGAACCAGCAAATTCGAAGAAGCGATCAGTTCTGATGGGAACTGAAGGTGATGTCTTCGCGTTAAACTTTAGTTAGGAGATTCATAAACACATTCGCCGCCATTTTTCGGTCTACATACCCTGAGCGGAAGTCCCCGTCTAGATCAGGAGGTGTAAAGGTCCAGCTTTACCTTTATGGAGCCAGAGCCTGTAGAAGCAGCCATGGCAGCCGACCACCAGTCTTGAGATACTCCCGGGTCACGACAGTTTTGTTGGCGTCTGGTGAGACCCAAACCTGCGTCGTGATGGTTCAGCTTTTATTCTGAAAGGAACCGTTGCAGCAGTTGGAACAGCAACAGATTTTATCCAGCTTCTCGTTTGTTCTTTCGGTTGAAGAAGAAAGTTACGGTTTGGCCACTCCGACACTTCTCTAGAACGCTTTGAACTGGCGTTAAAGATGGCGTAGGCATAGTTTTACACTTCGGATGTTTTGGTTTACGGTCGAATGAAAAGTTGACAGATTTTACAAAGCACCACCAAAACCACGCCTCCGTCAGATCTGGCAGTTCTGATTGGATCAGTGAAAGTAATGTGTCATGTCTTTTAACGCTACGTGAAATCAGTCCTATTGGAACAATTAAATGGACAGATTGGAACCCCAACTCATCATATTCTACAGGATTATAATAAAGTAATTAATATTTCATTTCACAGATTGGTCACATCTTATTATTGACTAACACTTGGTTGGATTAGCTTTATTAAAATAGAGTTCTTTGATTAATTAAAAAGGAGAGAGTCCATTCTTCATTCTTCTGTTGAGCTGAAAAGAAGCAGTTTAGAGCACATGCATGAGACCTTGAGGCCATATCTCATGCAGACTAGTCCTGTGTCAGAGGAGAGGGAAACAGTCATTTCATTCTGTTACACTGCTATAAAGGTTGTTCAGTACAACAAGGTAGGTAGTAATTATTTAAGCATTTTACTCTGAAATACCGTTCAAGATGGCTGACACATCGCTTTAACAACTTTACAAACCATGAGTGTCTAACGTTAGGATTGTGGCTCCTCCATGGACACATAGTCCTCAGGTTCTTCACTCTGTCAGATCTTTGTGTTTTGGGCCTGTGTGCTTCCTGTAGTCTCCCCTTAAGTTGTTTATTTCATTATTCAGGTCTGCTCCAGTTCTTTGACTACTTCCAGGCATGTTTTTGGATCCTTTATAACACCCCATGTGACTTTATTAGGCTTTCTTTGTTTGCATTTGTTCCTTTTTAGATGAATTTAAACATCTCAGTGTGACAAAAAGCAACTGGTAAAAATGTGTTACAAACGTTGATAATTTAGCTCGATTTTTAAACTCTTCACAAAACTACACAAACTTTGCCTCAATTGTAAAATAAACTTTATACTTCCAAAAAATACTTTAATCTATTTTTATTTCTCTCCAAACACCGGTGAGTACTTTGTCTGTAATTAGCTACAGGTGATGGAGTTTTTTATTTTATGGCTAATATTGCCGAAATTGATCAAATTGAGAGTATTTTTTTTTATAAATAAATAAATATATCAGACTTACTGTTTCTGTTCCTCCCTCTTCTCGTTAGCAAACTTCTGCTGAGTTTCTCAAACTGACTTTAAATCAGAGGAAGGTTTTTTCCTCATTTGTGCTCCATCCCTCAGAGGTGGTGTAAAGCTGTAGCTCCTCCTTCCCACAGGTAGAACCCATTACTTCTACAGTCACTGGGTAACACACACACACACACACACACACCTACACACACACACGCACATTCATACACATCCTGGGTAAAGCAGTAAATTGTATTTATTTAGGTGAATGAACAACAAAAGCTGTCCCTTCCTCTCTTTGTTTGGACCATAATGGTCGGTATCAGGGCAGCCTTCTCTGGTTGCTAACTTTCCTCACAAATCTACAATCTATGGTCAAGAAAACAAAGCAACACGTCTGATAAGAAAGTTTAATCTGTCCATCAGTAACGGCTCAAATGTGGTAACAAGATTCTACCTGGTTCTCATGCTTAGGCGGTGCTGGGTGGGCATATTCTCATTACACTTTGTGAGTAACTCAGACACATTTACTGGATTTTATTATGAATTGTGATACGTGATACTGGCAGATGCAGTCAGGAAACCCTGCAGAAGAACAGCTGGGTGTTGGGTGCTGGGTGTCACCACCCTTCTTTGACAAATTCGCAGAAACCTGAGCCTGATAGATGTCCAAGATGATCGCTGCACAAAGAAACTGGGAGACATCTTAAACCTACTTTAGATATTCAGCCTGACTCTTTTATGAGATCATAAAGAAGTGATATCTGCACAGATTTAGTCTTTGTGCTCCAACGCTTTTACTTGGGAAGGGTTTATTTATGTCTGCTGTCCCTGTAAACCTAGAACCAACTTGAATCCCATCACAGTGATGAAGAGATGGATGGATTAGGACCAAACTTGCCCCGAAGCAGAAGCTTAGATCAACATCATCCAGAATGGCTGCTGCTACCTGGATATGCAGCTGGCCATGAGAACCTGAAACATGCAGGATGTTTCATTTTGAGGTCATTACTTTTATTACAGTGAGACAATAATAGCATTAATATTTATATTATGATGTGTAATGAATAGGATTTATCGGATGTTGTAGGACCCCCTTAAAACGCACACACTAGTTGGTAAGGAAAGTTAAAGCACAGACAAACTAGGAACCACTGAGTCATTGTTGTGAGCTTGTTTTGGGGCAGGGCATTGTTCAGCCGGTAAAGCATCCCCGTCAGCTGACCTGCTTCTTCTCTTCTTATCTTTTGGATGAGAGCCTGGATGTGGTAGAGGTGTGAGGTGTTTCTAACAGACTGTTTTCACTCAGAGTCAGTGATGCTGTGAAGCAGTATATTGTGAAAAAAATGTGTGAACTTTTTTCAAATCACTGTGAAAAAAATAAAATACAAACCTGACCCTGTGGAAAAGTTTACACACCCTAGTGATTTTGGCCTGAAGCATGCACACAACCTGACTCAAATGGGTCTGAATAGCTGCTAAAGGTAACCATCCTCACCTGTGATCAGTGTGTGTTTGTTGTGGCGAGGGTCACCTCAGGGTTATCACCTTGGCCGTCTTTATATGAGAACTCACGGTGGGCAACGAAGAGATAGAATGTTCGTTGGGACCGGGTGCTGACACCTGAACCTTCCTGGTAAAGCATTCAAAAGATGCAGAGACTTTGATAAGCACGGAATGTGCATCAGCCCGCTAACAACTGAAACCACAGTGGGGGCGACAACGTTTGTTATCAACTTGATTTGCACCTGTAAAAGTGTAAACTTGACTTCACCTTGATCTAATTATTGACTAATAAAGGTATTCTTATTCTTATTCTGATTATCTCTCGAGGCTTACGTCGCTCTAGGTTTGGGTTCTGGGTTTCTCTCTGCAGTATGTTGCTGCCTGGGGAATAGCATCGGGACCTGGTCAAGTGTGTGCGTGAATGAACAGTAAGTGCAATGTTGGATTGATTATGGTTATCAGGTTAAGAATTATGCATTTCCTGTTTTGTATGAGAACGCTGTTGATAATAATAATAATTATTATTATTATTATTATTATTGTTATTATTATTAAAGCGAGTTTCAACATTGGTCCAACACCTTCATAGTCTGTTTGCAGTGTGCCTTTAGTGCATTAAGTGGTCCTTCGAGCCGGATAAAACTCACTGTAGGCTGAAGATGGATAGATCCTCGGAGTAAGAAGCGTATGGTGCTCACCCCAGGCGACAGATCAGCCCCCCTGGCCGTTTTGCAGATTGTGAGATGGATCAGCTGGGATACATGCAAGACCGGTGGAGGGAAGATATGGAGACTCCCAGACAGGACGGTAAAGTCAGGATAAAGTTGCTGCTGATCTAAACATTGAAAGAATACTTTCATTTTCTGTTCCTCACTTCTGATCATTTTCAATGGTGCCTGTTTGTTGCAACCACCAGGTACAAAAACTAACTTGTTTTTATTAGACTATTTTTTGTTTATTATCTTCCTGCATCTCCTCTCAATCCTAAAGAAAAACTACTACCTGGCTTCATATATTTTCACTTCATGAATTACCTTTGAACCACAGTTCAAACAGATCTACCGACTGCAAATATAGCAGAGTGGGTGCTGCGCGCAGATCACACCGGGGCGATGAAGTTGCCGGAGGACGAAACAGGTGATGCGCTCTGCACCACAGCAGTGAAACACATCAGACACAAATAAAAGACAGAAAGCATAAAAGGATATGAGCCAACATTAACGATCGTTTGTTAAATTTGTTTTTGAGGTGGCGACACTTTGAGAATGTTACTGTGGCTGTGCTCAGGACCAGAGGCCGTTTTACCATTAGGCATAGGTTGGTGGCCTCCTGGGGCCCCCTTATAATTGGGTGCCCCCTAGCCCTGACTGCTGGCACCCCTCTGTTAATGCCACAATGGACTATTCCTTTAAGACAGCGATGCACAAACAGGAAGTGATTGCTATTCATTCCAGTCTAATCCAGTTGGTAACAGTAATGCACCAAATTGTTGTTTGCCAAGTGCCATAAGACCACAAATAAGAAGAAGAGAAAGCAGAAAAAGAAGAAGAGAGGCGGGAGCATTCGTAACAAACTCGAAGCAGTAGTCCAAACAATAAGCATGAAATGAAGTTATCCTAGTGGCCCCAGTAAGAGAAAGAAGCAGCCTGCTTTAAAAAAGCTTTTATCTTCACTTCCAAAAGTGACATCATTTCTCAATGTAAACATCAAAAGGAAAGACAATGGAAAATGTTTAAAGGGAGGAAAACATAGACCAAAATGGAAAATAGAAGAAAAAAAGAAAGGCAAAAGCACAGGAGCACTGACAGCAAGAAGAAAGCAGAGCAAATATTGAAGGCACTCAAAGGCTGAGAAAGACAGGAAAAAAGAGTAGGACAAAAAAAATTGAAAATAACTCATGTCAGAAGAAGGTAGAGTTTTGCAAATCCAGTTAAAGATAAGATTGTCGAAAATTTTGTGTAAGGGGGCCCCATGTCTTTGTTTGCCTTGTGCCCCCAAAATGCTAAATCCGCCAATGCTCAGGACGCATCTGTCTGGAGTGCGTCAACGATCAGAGCTCTGCGCCTCTCAGCTCTAAATAATCCCTGGAGAGTCACCATAGATAATTTAATATAAGTAGAATCAGATCGTTTTTGGGCTCCCCCGGGTGTGTTGAGGGTTTCCAGGAGCTCCCTTTAGCTCACCTGTAATTCGAATCCTGCGTATAGCACAAGCTTGTCGCGTGGGTTGCCGGATCCTAGCAGACAGTTGCTGGAACAGTCCTTTCAACATAAAATAGTTCCCGGGTCTTGTTCTGGCAAGAACCGGCTAAAATTAAACACTGGGAACGGGATATAAAAAGATATCCAAGATACCGATAATACCATTCAGCAGTGTTTGAACTCTGATACAAGAGTGGACATTTAGGGGTTCTGCTGAAACCAAACCAGTCAAGTAGACAGACTAAACATTTCTGCAACAACTTGCAGAAATAACTTCTGCAGACTTCAGGAATCCATCATAGAAAGTGACGTGGCTGTTTCAAGAAGCATGATAATGATATGCAAATTACTAAATGTTGCAAAAGCTGCAACTACTAGGCAACTCCAACTGCTTTGTTTTTAGATATCAGTCCGAAACCTACAGTTAGTTGACTTACATTTAAACTGAAGAAATGCCTCAAAGTAGCTGCTGGCTCCTGATCCACCATCCTTTTGAAAATACTGCGCTGTGTTCTGGAAAATTTTTCACCAATAAGGTCAGGCTACAAGACATCTCCAGTGTATGCTTGGTCAGCTAGCTAAATGGCTAGCAAATGGAGAATAGACACCTCGATAGCAAATGAACATTTAAACACGCTTTTGTGGTTATTGATGAATTATCTCCTTTGCAACCAGGGCAGGACCAAGGCATCAAGGCGAGGTTCCTTGACATTGAGAAACACCATAAGTCTCCTTCCTTTCCAGTCGGCTCATAGGTCCCTAATTAGCATGACTACTGTAGCATAAGAAAGGCAGTGTAAGGCCAAAGGTCATCGGCCATAACATTGTCCAGCCATCAGCATTTACCCAAGAAAATGTGTGTTCCTCCAAACCAAAACATGCTCTATTTATCAATCAATCAATCAATCAATATTTATGACCTTGCCATTTGGGAAACAGCCATAACAAAATCCCCACTCCTCCCTTATCTGTCCTGCAATTACAATCATATTCTGTTTAATACAATGAATGTTTTACCTAAAGTGAATTTTATAAAACAGAATATGATTGTAATTAATCTGTAAAGTGAAAAAATAATAGAACAGAAACAATATGATCTTTTTAATAAAGTTATGAGTTCTGTCTCCACGAGTCTTGCAGCAGGACAGATACATATCTGCCATTGTTGTAATGTGGGTAAATACTCTCGCCTCTAGCCTATCCAAAACTCGTTAGAAACAGTGTGGACCTGTCTCCATTGCTTAGTGTAAGTGTTGTTAAGGAAGATTTCTGTGTAAGGATCATTGCAGGAGATAGAATAAAGGGGTTCTCTGGATCAGACGAAAGTGAAAGGAGTGGTCTTGCATTTATTATGGCTGAAATTTCAGCCATGAGTGTGGATAAACACTTCATGA